TCAGTTGGCCTCCCTGCTCTAGTTCCCAATCTACTGAAGTACCCATTGATTCCACCTACGTGACCCTAACAGGTTTTTTATGTAATTGCTGCTACCTCTTGATTTTTACTGTTTTAATGATTTTAATGTAATGTAATTTTATTGTAACAAGTCTCTTGCTTTGGGGAGGACGGAATAAAAAAAATCCAGTTAATAAATAAAAACACTAATTATGGTTTTTGGAGGCTCTGTAGATGAATAAATCGGCCATCTAGTCCAAAGTTACTAAATGGTATCCAATAAAATGAAGGGACAGTCTTAATTTGAAGTAATATGCATTTTCACTATTGCATCTGGAAGTCTGAGCTGCAGCATTGAACTGACAACTATGGTTTGTACAGTCATAAGAGATTAGTCTCTTAATACTGATCCTTTTTGGTTCCCTCCAATGGTACAAGATTTGCATTGTCATTCCTTTCTGTTGAAGTTTTTTCCAGTTGTTTTATCTTTTTTTCCTTAAAGGGGAGAAAGGTAATAAGCATCTTAGTGCCCTCTGTTCTACCAGATAACTACTATTTTCATACACTGTATGAATTCATAAACTTAGCCAGGTGTACATAAAACATTTAGCATCTCTGTAGCATTTTATTCCTCACAATAGCCCTGTAAGGTGTGTCAGTATTGTATTATGAACACACTGCAGATAACAAGTCAGAGATTAAGAGAATGCCTATAGCTACCTATTGGGTTCACAGCAGAGGTTAGATTTGAACCAGGGATTTGCAGCTCACATTCTTAGCCCCAACATTGTACTGACTCTCTGCTGCACTTCCTTTATGTAAGCCTGTATTGTTAAGCAATGGCTTTTGAAATCTAATCCTTGTGGAATTTTTCCTATGCTAGCCCCACCTGTTATGATGTACAAATTACTTTCACTGGAAGTATTGCAAATTAACTTTGTTATTGTTTAAAGGATTTCATTGTGGTCTTCTCAAGGTTCTGAGAAGGTTCAAGAGTTTTAGAACTGCTATTAGGGTTTCACTAACTATGTTTCTAAAATATTGTCCTATCCTAGTAGAAGTATTAAAAAGAAGGCAGTTGTTAAGGGACCACGAAGAATGAGAATAGACATAGTATTCATGAAAAATAAACTTGTGCTGTAGCAACACATTTTACATAGACTTCTCTATGTCACACAAAGCATTTTATCTTTTTCACTTTAAATAGACAGGCGCTAATGTTCTGTTTGTTGGAAGAATGAAAAATTACTTGGATCCTAATATTTAATATAAAGATGAATGTGGTATAATTAATCTTTCAAATCTTTCATAGATTTCTACACCATAATGACAATGAATGTATATCTTTTCTTTTAAAGGGAAGCCACGAAACAGATTGGAGCCTATGGATACCATCTTTGTTAAACAAGTTAAGGAAGGTTTGCCTGCTTTTGAAGCTGGATTATGCACAGGTGCTTTTCTACACTTCTGTATTTTATTATGTTTGCAGACTGTATGTACTGACCCGGTTTGGTGTCACAACCATATAAACGTTTCAATGCATAAAGCTCTCTGAATGGTTGTTTTCCCGAGGGAAGGGGAAACTGTTAAATTTGGCTGGGATTTTAGCCCATCTAGTTTTTCTTTTTCTTTTTTTTAATATAATTTTTATTTTCCATTTTACAAAGTATAGTCATACATATCTTAATATTTACATAAATATTCTTGAATCTATTGTTTATTCTTTTCCTTTATCCATTTGTATACCTTTGCCCATCTTTCTTAAAATACTTTATCATCTTTCCCTTGTAATATTACACTTTGTCCATTTCTGCTACCTCCAACAATTTTATAGCAAGTTCTTTTCTCGTTGGTATTTTATGTTCCATCAGCAAAGTTTTGAACAGGGGGTCTGCAGCCTTTTACAATTCATGAGCCACTCTACTTAAAAATTCAGAGCAAATGATCAACAAAGAGCCCATAAAAGGACGCTTCATTAATGTAACTGAAAATGTGCAATCTAACATTACTAACAACTGGAGTTCACAATTCTTAACGTTTCTGCAGCCCAAACATGGGTTGTTGCAAGTCCTTTCTTTAGAGGTGGTGAACATGAGATCTCACAAATAAAAATATGCACTGTAGCAACTTGCACAATTTAGTGCACTGGCATAAATCTGCACATGGTTCACATTTAGATTACTGGCAACTGTCCATCTCTTTATCATTTTTTCCTGAGCCCAACATATATACAGTACCGCCGGTCCCCATATGTGTCCCCGAAGAGCCTTGGATTCTGCAGATAGTCATCTACTGGTTGTCCCCAGCCCGAAAGATGCCCGCCTAGCCTCAACCAGGGCCAGGCTTTTTCGGCCCTGGCCCCAGCCTGGTGGAACATGCTTCCAATTGAGTTCAAGGCCCTGTGAGACCTGTTGCAGTTTTGCAGGGCCTGCAAAACAGAGCTGTTCCATCGGGCCTTTGGCTGAGGCAGCAGGCATCTACCAGCTGGCCTCCCTATAGTTGGTGATGCTGCATGAGATCATTATGGCTTGACATCGAACCATTTACTCCAGCTGTAGGAACTGAGCTAATATACTGCACTGCCCACTTTGAATGTTTTAAATTGGTTTTATTGTATTGTTTTAATATTGTTATTCATTAACCTATGACTTATTTTAAGATTGTATTGTGTCTGTTGCTGTGAGCCGCCCTGAGCTTGTGGGAAGGGAGGGGTATAAATCAAAATAATAAATAAATAAATAAATAAAATCTGTAAGAAGCCCTTTAGTTCCATAAAAATCTTTGCCTGCAGTTCCCTTCACATACTGGATATTCCAGTATCACACCTACCTCTCCAATAGAATCTAACATAAATATTTGATTTTGTTTTTTTAACAACCATATTTGGTTCTGTACTGAGCCATGGGTTGCAGACCTATGGTCTGGATGGTAAGATTTTTGTGGTTTTGAGTTCTCAAGCATGATAATTCTCATGCCACTGAAAATAAATTAGGGAAACTATCCCTGCTTAGGGGGATCTCAGATGCAGTGAAGTCTGGGGCCCCTGCATGACTTCTCAGGCTTGTGGATCTGCACTACGATGATGTCAGTGAGTTCACTTTGAAAAGTACAGTAGAAGGGGAGAAGTCAATGAGAATGATGCCACCTTCTTGTTTCCTGTTTCTTTGTAATATTTGAGTCAGTCTTCCAAGTGAAGAAAACAGTCTATGTGCTTTCTTCCTAGGTGACCGAATAATAAAAGTGAACGGAGAAAGTGTTATAGGGAAGACGTATTCCCAAGTAATTGCTTTAATACAGAACAGGTAAGATATTTATAAGTTCTACAGTTTTAAATACTATATGATTCAAGATTTATATTTTGTATTATGGTAATCTGGATGTGCTAAGCCATCACAGAATCACAGATGTGATCAAACCCTATTTAATTCAATCTCTACTGCCCTGGACCCCTTTCAGACTGGGCTTTTGGATGGAATGTTGCTGGTGGCCCTAGTATATGATCTCTGTCTAAGTATAGATGAAGGCTGTGCCTTACTGCTGTTTTTAGTAGACTTAATCAGCAGCCTTTAATATGGTGGACCATGCCATCCTGTTGAGTTACTTGGAGGTAGAAATAAGTATTAAGAGATGTGCTTTCAGTTTCAGTTGTTTCTTATGGGCAGGAGGTTGCTCTAGGGGCCAAGTTTCTGCAGTATGGGACCTGCCTTGTGGGGCTCCACAAGGTTCAATTTTAACCCCCATGCTATTTAATCTCTACATGAAGCCCTTGGGAGAAATCATTGATAGTTTTGGAATAGGGTGCCATCAGTATACTGATGACACCTGTTCTGCATTTCCTTATCCAAATTGCCTTGTGACATTATAGAGTCTGTGACCCAGACCCCCTTTAATTTAGTTGAATGTCTAAGGGTAAACAAGCTGAAATAGAATTGTGTCAAGATGGAGGTAAGGTTGATTGAGAAGGCTAAGACCTGAAGGACCTGGGCCTCCCCACTTTTGATGGGGCTTAATTGTCTCTTGCTGACTCAGTTAAGAGCCAATGGGGGATTGTAGATCCAGCTTTATTTCAGGAGAAGCAAGTTGATACAGCTGAAAAAGAGCATTCTAGCAACTCTACATCTTGGAAGATGCCCCCCTACTTTGAATTGGCTCATCTTGCCACATGGATCCATGTTACAGTTACCTCAAGATTAGACTACTGTAATGCACTCTGCATGAGTCTGCTCTTAAAGACAATTTGGAAACTGTAGTTGGTATAGAATAGGTATGGGCAAAAACCTCATAATGAACCTAATTTCATAACAAAATTGCCTGTGTTGGGTTCGCGGACTGAGATTAGTGCCATTTCGCCCCAGAGACCCTCCCACGACCCTCCAAGTGGTTATCAGGAGGTCCGTGCAGCTCATGGTGGGAAACGGGGTGGGGGGTGGGTAACGAGGGATTGCAGAAATAGCTTGCATCTATTTCAGCCGACAGCTGACGAGTGTATCAGCCCCACTGTTAGGCTGAAATGGATACAAGCCATTTCAGCAATCCCTCTCATTTTCCCCTGCTTCCAAGTGGGGGAGGGAGCAGAACGGAGTGATTTAATGGCTCACAGCCATTTAAACCTAACAGCTGGGTGAGTCTGCCCCTCCTTTTTGCTCCCCCACATTCGAAGTGGATGGAAGCAAAACAGAAAATGGCTCGCAGCCATTTACCCTTCCTGTGCGACCCCCCCTTCCCTGCCTGCAGCTTTCTGCAGCCAGGAAAAAGGTGGCCCAAAGTGGCTGGTTCAGTTCAGGCATTTTTTGCTCAGTTTGGTTCGGGTACATCCCAAGCCATAACCGAACCAGAATTTTCTGGTCCATGCCCATCTCTAATATAGAACTCTAATATATTGGGTGCAAAGCAGAATCTGCATTTCACTCCCTTCCTGCAGACACTCCATTGTTACCAGTCAGTTATTGGGTTCAATTCAAGGTGCTGTCTTGTCAGCCGCAAAGCCCTTAAAGGCATTGGACCCACATATCTGAAGGTGCCACACTGTAAACAGGTGTGTTGGCAACTACCCAGTCACACACGTTCTTGGTAGTAGCTCCCAAATTATGGAATGTTCTTCCTGAGGCTCTTAGGAAAGTTCTCCATGCTCCTATGGGTTTTGCAAAATGTGCAAAACAGAATTGTTCAGGAAGGCATTCTTGTAGAGTAGTAGAGCTGTGATGTAAAGGATCAGCTTGGGAGCACTGTTTCCTCTAAGCTGAGAGTGTGAGCTAGCTCAGTTTTTTAGCCTCCGGCTCGTACATTTTTGTCTTCGCTCAGTAAGGATGGCTCCAGAGCAAACTAATTTATGCAGTAGCCAAATCACTTGCTCACAACTTTAATGCCAGTAGCTCACAAAGTAGAATTTTTGCTCACAAGACTTCCACAGCTTAGAGGGAGCATTGCTTGGGAGGTGACCTCTATTGGGGATAATGTGTTTTTTCCCCTTCCAATCCATCAATCCCAGCCCCACTGCATTATGTTGCTTCACTAGAAATGCTATCATATTTGCCGACTTCGGTTTCTTAGGAATCTACAATATATTTGATCATACTTCAGGTTATGAATTGGAGGGTTGTTGTTTTTTTTGTAGTGCCACCATCTAGCCCATTTAGCTTCCAAGAGAAAGAGAGTACGCAAAGCCTGATTGCCTGACCTGGATAGCCCAGGCTGGCCTGATCTCCTCAGATCTTGGAAGCTAAGCAGGGTTGACCCTGGTTAGTATTTGGATGGCAGACCACCAAGGAAGTCCAGGGTCACGGTGCAGAAGGCATTGGCCAACTGCCTCTGAAGTCTCTTGACTTGAAAACCCATGGGGTTGCCATAAGTCAGCTGTTACCTGATTCCTAGGCCTGGTGTTCTCAAACAGCAGATAGTTACATCTTTCATACTGCAGGTGAGATTGACATAACCAAATGCTGTATGTGGGAAACTAGCATCTGAAGAAAACCCTTCTTTAATTTTTACTTTTGTATAAAGGCACATTCACTTATATGTTACCCCATATGCAGTCAAGAAATAAGTTTATTCTCTCATTTATTTATTTAGAAATTTTTATACCACGTATCTGAGGCAGCTTATAAAATACAAAATAATAAAACAAAACATTTAAAAGACAGTAATTAAAATCCAGCATTAACAGCCCAGCATAAAAACACAGACCATATGAACAGTCCACTCAGAGGTTAGTTTCCAGATTAAATAGTATTAAAAGATCAACCCCTTAATTAAAAACTTTGGCCTGCTGGCAAAAAGAGAGCAGTGTAGGCACCGGACAAGCTTTAAGGGGGAAGGGCATTCCATAAACCAGGTGTGGCTACTGAAAAAGCCTTGTCTCTGGTTTGCACCCAACTCACTTCTGAAGGTGGGATTGGAGAACAGGGCTTCTGAGGCAGATCTTAACTGGCAGGCTGCCAAATGTGGGAGGAAGCAGTCCTTCAGGTGCCCTGGGCACAAGCCAGTGAAGGCCTCAAAGGTAAGAACCAGCACTTTTTGCCCTGAAACAAATGTGCAGCCAGAACTTTCAGCATGGGGTGATACGATCGCTCTGCCTGCCCTTAATAGTAGCCTTTTGGACAAGCTGAAGTTTCCAGACCATTTTCAAAGGCCACCCAATGTAAAGTGCATTACAGTAATCTAAACAGGATGTTCTCCATGACTCCTCAGTCCTTGAGCTGCTTTGGAAATAGATCAAGATGGGTAGCAGTGTTTGTCTGTAGCAGTAGAAAAGAATAAGAAGTAGTGAGCAGTGACTCATTAAAGGTAATATCCTGACACAAATTTTGTTAGTCTTTATGGTGCTACTGGTCTCTCATTCTTTTCTACTGCTTGACCTGCTTTGTCAATTCACCAGCAACACTTCAGTCTTGTCTAAATTAAGCTTCAACTTATTGGCCCTCATCCATTCCATTGCTATTTCCAGGCACATGTTCAAGTCTTAAACAAGACTCACCTGACTCAGCTGTTAAGAAGTAGAGCTGGGTGTAATCTGCATATTGGTTGCACTGTACTGCAAATCCCTCAATGATCTCTCCCAGCAGATTCATGTAGATGTTGAACAGCAGCAGGGACAAAATAGGACCCTGCCAGACACCATGTCATAAATGCCATAAGGCCAAGCAGCAGTTTTCCCAGCACCACCATCTAGACTTGTTTGTGGGAAGCTAAGCATTATGGTAACTTCCTTACAAAAAATGGTTCCTAAACTGCTAGGGAACAAAAGTTCCGGAATTGCTTCTGTAATAGTCTCCTTCAGTTTTATCATCTGTAGCTGCATTCTACAACGTCTGTTACAAAGTTCTTTGTGTCTTCTACAACATGGTGTACTGACTTAAGCATTTAGGTTTTTTAAAAAGAAAAAACAAAAAGTTGTCAGTGCAAATTTTGCGTGTGTGTGTATTTCAAAACAAAAAGTACCCTGATTTTGAATGATTTTCTAACTCTAAGATAAAAATCCTTTCCATAATTCCATTTCCTTCAAAAAGGGGTCCATTGGTTATAAAAGAGAAAGCATTTAAAATGTTGGTCTTTGCTTTGGTATCATAGTGAGTTCTTTTTCCTTATGTCTCTTCTGACCATGAGCCAACTTTGACTGAGCAGCAGATGTGAAATTAAAATTAGGTTATGTGTTTGATCAGTGCTGTACACAGTAATTTCTAAGAATATGTAGGACTGTGCTTCATACGACGTTCAAGCTGGCAGTTCCATTCTGTGGGTGACATTTCTCATGAGAATATATTATAGGGTGGTTACGCTTGCATTCTTTTTAATCAGTGTTAAGAAAATGATTTATCAAATTTCCACAAAGACTCAGCGTATGCTGGTATTTTTCTATGAACTGTTGATGATGGATACCATTGAAATGCTAGTGCCAGGAAATTAATTTGCATAAATTAAGTTCAACTTCAAATATTGGGATGGGGGGGACCTTTACGATAATTTTTTTGAGTTAATTGCTGGTGTTCTGGCAATTTAGGAAAAGCAAGTCTTGAGTAGAATCTAATCCTGAGAGATTCATGGGTGCAATTTCTAGCTCTCACTTTCTCAAAATATATTGACGTACATATAATGTACAGTGGACTTGGGAAATAGTTGAAAATCCTGTAAGCTGTGTCACTGTTGACATTTTGCAGGAGCCCAATGCCCGCTCCATGTTCCAGCTTTGTATAAAAATGATAAGTAAGATCAGCCCTACTGAAAGAATCTAATCCTAGTTCGAAAGCAAGAAATTGCAAGTAGATAAATAGGTACCACTTCGGTGGGAAGGTAACAGCGTTCCGCGCGCCTTGGTGTTTAGTCATGCCGGCCACATGACCACGGAAACGTCTTTGGACAGCGCTGGCTCTTCGGCTTTGAAACAGAGATGAGCACCGCAACCCTAGAGTCGGATTCGACTGGCTTTCGAGCAAGGGAACCTTTACCTTTACTTTAAGATCAGCCCATAGGCTTCTTGTCACTTTCATTTAGAAAATACAAGAATATTGTAGCTATGGTATGACTTACAGTGCAGCCCTAAGTGGAGTTATCCCCTCCTAAATCCATAGAAGTCAGGGAACTTAGACAGAAGCTAACACCTCTTAGTTTTGCACTATCGATGCCATAATCTATTATTGACCCTGTATAGTCTGTTTTATGATTTTTGAGATAAATGTTAGGAGTCTTTTAGCTACACACACATTTCAGCTCCCATGTATAGCAACTGTTTGCTTGTTTTTATTTCTTTAAGTATTTATATCCCCCTTTTATTCCTTGGAGGGACTCAGAGCAGTTTACAATAGAATAAACACCACGTAAGTAGACTAGTAGAAAAGCCAACAAATAGGACATGCCCAAGATGATATTGTTGGACTGATTGGCTGGTTCACAGCAAATGCACTATATTTTTTTAATCCTTCCGAACTCTAGTTACTATACAACACTGTCCATGTACAAAACCATGAAGCACCCCTGAATTTCTGGGCCAAGCTGTGAGGGAAGAATAATAGCGATCCTGTAGTAAAGAGAAAAATAAGGGTATACACCTTAGTTGGTGGTTGAAAATGAAATTAGATGTAAGACTGTAGTTCTTTGAACATTTTCCAGACACTAAAATCCTGATCATAATGGCTAGTTGTAGTAATGTGTCCCACTGCTTCTTCTTTACAGTGACAATGTATTGGAACTTAGTGTTATGCCAAAAGACGAGGACATCCTTCAGCTGGTAAGTTTTGTACTTCTGAAATGGGAACTAGGCTTTCTTCTTGATAATATCTCTGTGAACACAAACTAAATCTTTGAATGATGTTGCTTCTTAGTCGTAGCATCTATGTTCCTCCCCTCCTGACTTCTTTGTTTGCTGTTGCTTTAGTTCCATAGATATGGAAGGTGGGGGAAAAAAGTTAGAAAAGAAGGATGAAGAACCTTCCTGTTCTCTTTATGCACCAGGGATCTAGGAAAAAAGCTACTATTTTTGAATGGAATGGAGCTGGATAAAATATAAAACACACACTAAGTGATTAAGAGTGTACAGCTGTTGTAAGAATGGGAGCATACCTGTGATGATGGTCTTCAGCAAGAACAGATGCCATAAGGGGCAAGTTGTTTTCCTGCCATTCAGTTAAACTTAGTTCATAAAAATTCAGCTGAGAGAACTCTCTTGAGGTTTTCCTTACTTTGCCGAAAATTTCACCTGGATTTGTTTTTGTTTTGCTGTTGTTGCTCTGGCAGTAAGTGAACCTAGTGCAGTTAATTTGCGATATAATATTCACTGCTTTCACTGGAACGTCTTTATAACTAAGGGACAATTCACACATTACATATATTTTTGTATTGGGAGAATGATCAGACCCATGTCCATCTGTATTTACCTCTAGAAGAATGCAGCAGTCTCCCATTCAGTATTTGCCCTCCCTTTATCTAGTTCTAACAGGGAGACAGCCAATGATGCCACTGACCCATCTTCGGCAGTAGCAGTACCTTCCTGCGTTGGCTTTTTTCTGTCTTAAGGCTGATGTTCTAGGGGTAGACAATTAGAGAGTCTTCTATTCCTAATTCCAGAGGGCAGAGTATCTGCCACCAGTTGCCTTGGGCAGTTAACCACCTTACATTAGCACCCACCCAAGTATGTCTGATGAACTGCTAGTTAAGAAGCAGTAATTTTTTAAGACAATCATTCTTGCTTAGGTTTGAAAGAACAAATGGCTCAATTAATGTGAAGTATTCCAGGAACTTCTGATGTGTGTCTAGATATGATGCATGCAAAACATTCTCTGTGATTGAAGTGAATGAGATGGTTTCTGTGTGTGCGCTGGGCTACCGTTTGTGTACTGTAGTCATTGCAATAAGATGGTAACTTCTTTTTGGGATGGAACAAGTAGACTCATTTGATCATTTTAGAAATTTTATAAAATGTTGCAAGTTACATTTTTCATTTAAAATATACTGAGATATAAATGAAGAAAGATAGATCCATTATTGTTCCAAAGATTTATGTAAAAAATTATCATTCATTGTAAGGTGCAAAACTATCCTGGGTACTCATCTAAGGAAGAATACAATCGTGTTTATATGTACTTGGGGAGGGGGTCAGGCTCTCTGAATTTGGAGCAACATCTTATGTGTGTATATTCAGAATATTGGGCTGCAATTCGTTGACACCTCAGTTAAATAGGAATTTGAACTTTATATGGTCCTTTTTTGCTCAAACACCCCAGAACCCAAGGGTGCATAAATCTTTAAAATTTGCATGTATGGTTTATTAGTTTGTATAGTGGCCATACCTGGAATGAAAATGGATAAAAAGAAACATTTTAACAAGACCATTCTGCATTAACAAGCAAGCCTCTGGTACTCAGGAAGAAAGTCTGAGATAAGGAGGCAAATGAAAGCAAGAACAAGTTCATTGTATTTCCCTTTGATTCCATATTTCAAAAACGTGGACTGACTTTGCTTACTTGCACTTTGGATTTATTATTATAGGGTAACATGTTTATAATTGTAATCTGGCAACATTCATTTTCTCAAGGTTGGTATGAAAAGGTTATATGTTTATCAAATGCATAAGTGACGTGGCTTTTCAGCTATCATATATACTTAACAGTTGGAGCAAGTTTCCCATCCCTGCTAAATGCCTAAATTGAAAATGGAATAAGAACAATGTAAGAAGAGCTCTGCTGGATCAAACCAGTGGTCCATCTCGTCCAGCATACTGTCTCATACAGTGGCCAACAATCAGGTTAAAGATATGAAAGTAATTCCCTTGCAACAATGTGGAAGCCTTTGAACCAAACATTTTAACCCTCCAGCTCTGCTAGATATGGGGATGATTAGAAAATGTTTGGGTTATCTAACGGGGTAAGGAAGAGATCAATGTCCTTCATTGTCCTGGAAGTGCATAATAGGTCAAGACAATAACCTGATCGACAAAACGTTGACCTTGACAGCTGGAGCTTAGCCAAGTTGTGAGCAACTAACAGGAAGTTTTATGATGGAAAAAAGGTTAAAAGCACCTGTTATTCAGCAGCATTATTAAATACACCAAAATGTCTGTTATGATTGACTGAAGCTCCTGGTGAGTTTCTATTGTGAGTTAAAACATGTGACAGTCCCATTCCACACTTTACATGTTTCCTGCAGGTAGCATTAGTGAATGCATCACCACCTTAAAGCATGACTTGATCTATAAGGTGAATCTACATTTAGTTGATTTATAGTGCAGTCACAAGTAGAGTTACACCATTCTAAGTTCATTGAAGTCAACGAACTCAGAAGGATATATTTGTTTAGGATTGCACTGTTAGATCCTTATGACTATCAAATCCTTGTGACTATTAAAGTAACAAGGATGCCAGCAAGACTTAAATAAAATCAGTGCCATTGAGTGGATGAAGAACTTTTTCAGATGCTGTGGGCAAAGCAACAGGAAAATGAATATAAAGGTGCAAAAGACTGAAATCTGCAGAAATATTTAATGGCCCTTACATATGATATTGTCCATTGCTGCTAAATTGCTTGCTACATGCATAAAATTACAGTATTTGGGGCTTGACACTCCATGTTATTTATGCGACAATAACCTGCAGTTGAAATAAATGCATTGCTGTGTTCTCGTGAGAGATTCTTCAACATTAATTTTTCAGGGTCAAAGTCCCACTTTGGCGGGAGGGCGGGGTAGAAATTTACTAAATAAATAAAATTATTATGGTGAATTTTGTAACAAAACTGCTGAATCTTCTTCGTGGTCTCTGTGCATCACACCCTTGGGAATATACTGCGCCTGCGCTGACCTTCTCGGTACCGGTAGCTAGCAAAAGGGATTTTCGCGCCTCTCCCAGGTCACGCGCCGGCTCCACTGCGCATGACCAAGGAGGGGCACGCAGATCCCGCCAGTTCTTTTCTGACCGCCGCGCTGGTAGGACGCCTTCTGCTTCGGTCTGTTAAGTACCTAACTTTCTGCTAAACTCGCGTTTAGTTAGTTTCCTTTTCTTTATTTTGTTTTTTGTAGTTAGCATTTTTCTTCGGTGTGTTTGTTCCTTGTCTTTAACGTTTCCCCCTCCGCTGGCCTATGGCCCCGCGGTGGGGTTGTTTCAAACGGTGTAAGACTTGTGGCCTTAAAATATCTCCCA